GAAATGGGGGAAGAGGAACACACAGATTAGAGAACATACGAACGTTCGAGACATTTTAATTCATGTCTGGTTTTTTTTGGGTCAGATCGCCGCATTAGCAGAATGTGTGTCATACACCCTCCTCCACCCGACGTGATCGATTGATAAAGTTGCCACGTGATGAACAAACGTGCCAGTTTATTACTGCTTCAGCAGCTGCAGTGGCACCGGTAATGTGGGAGAGCAATGCGCAACATTTAACTTGGGCGCTGCGGTGGCTAAGAAATGTTAACTACCTCGCCTGGTATACAGGAGGTCGTGGGACCAATCCCGACCTTGATGCCTGCTGTATATTTGAAGTTTGCATGTCTTTCTCTCCCTCTCCCTGTGGTCGCATGGATTATTCTCTGGGTCCTCAGGTTTTCCCTGCACATTTAGAAACGTGCGTTTAGAGTATTTGGCTGTTATACATTTCCAAATGATGTTAAGGCACTTCGTTGAGCTATCATTTGTGGCCAGGCCACTTCTGAAAAAGAGCTGTCTAGCTCAGTGGGCCTTGACTGGTAAAATAATAAAATGTTTATCGTTTTAACTTTATTAATAGCCAGAGTTGGGTGCCGTTGTGAAACATTCCTTAAAGAACCCTGCGCTCATTATCTGCAATGTTGACATTTTTTGTCGTTGCTGTGCTCACGCACCAAGGATCTCCCGTGTAAAAGAGCCCAGGCGACAGCTGGCTAAACGGGGTCCATCGTCCGTGTCAGAAATCTACAGAGCGAACAATCAATCGTGAATCAGGATATTGGTAGGGAAAGCCTAGGCGTTCAATTTTAAGGACGTCATATTGACTGTTAAGGAGGGTAACTCTAAACATTCGTCAGTAACAACACGGCGTGTGTGGCCTTAAAAGAAAAACAAATGTGTAATTGGAGACGTTTCGGGCAACGGCCCTTCTTCAATGGCACATAAATAGGGAGGTGCAGTAGACAGACGGAGAGCGTTGTAGACTGCTCTTGTTTACATCATGGGGGCCCTGATAGGCCTTAGTTTGTAAACAGAAGAAGTACATTCAGTAAGCTGAGAAATGTAAGTGTACGGCACGGCAACTGAAGTGACGATGGTCGAGACTAACAATGGATCGGCAGGCAAAGGAGGGATGAATTCCCGAGAGAACATTGAGTTCAGCTGCATCGCAGGACCATGAGATATGGCTCCAGCACGCCGATGCTTTATTCCAGACGTAGATAGATCATGGCTGATGATGATAATATTCATCTTCATTTGTTGCATTTCATTACTTGATTTCCCTTTCCGTCCATTGCCGATCATTTGACCTTGTTTGCCTCTCGTACAAGAGCTTCTATCCAACAACAAGTGACGTGAACATCGCTCGTCCGTCCGGCATTTCATCCGTCCATCTCTCCGTCCCGCTGTCTGTACATCCTTTCCTCCATTTATTGGCCCGGTACATGTTTGCGTCCATCAGTCCGTCCGTCCGTCCAAGAGCATGTCCCTCCATCCATTAGTCTGTCCGCACGCCTGTGTGTCTGTCTTCACGTCCGTCTGTCCATCTGTCCATCCCCTCTGTCCAACGATCCTTCCGTCTGTGTCCACGCATCTGTCCGTCGTTCATCCCTCCGTGTGTCTGCCCCTGCATCCGTCCATTTGTTCATCTGTCCCTACGTCTTTCTGTGAATGCATCCATCCATCCGTCTGGCCGTTAAGAGCCTCCTGAGCTAGGCCGGACACATAAAGCTTTGCCAGCTACACGCTGCATGGCAAGCCTCAGCGAACACAGACTCAACGTCCCTCCCTCAAAGCCCCCCCTACCGCAGCGCTATCGAGCACTGCATCAAGATGCTGGCTGCTGCATGCGAAGCCGATCCATTGATCCGCGGTGCCTGAGAGATAGAGATCGCGTACGTGGTTTGGTGGGTTTACGTGTGTGTGTGTGTGCGCGTGTTTTTTTTTCTCAACTTCTCCTTCACACGCAAAGGTGCCTGTCACCTGACGCCGCCACCGCTGTCTCAGCGAATTCCGCGACCCGTCGCCTCCGCGCAGCGTTTTGGGGGCGACGACTCCGGCCTAGGGGTTTGCTGCCATGGCGGGGAATTTCAAAGTCGAGCGGTGCAAGAGAACAAGCGGAAAGAGCAGTGGCATGAGCTGCAGTGCGGTGGATTCAACAAAACAGTCAGTCTAGGAGAGCGAACCCCCAGCGTGGGCTGAGGAATCAGCGAGCGAAGTTCAAGTTTTGTAGTTTTGTTGTCCATCCCCCGCACCTCCGATTAGCACGGTTGGCTACGTACGGTGCGAAAGAAGCGCAACGTACATAGATACACACATGGGAACAGGAACCACGGTAGTAGCAATAGAAGGTGGATAAGGAGGCGACTGATCGACCGCTGGATCACCGGTCAACGTGACCGCTCTACGTCACGGCTTGTCGAGATGCCTCGGATCGTCTCGCACGAGAGATTCCTGTTGTGCAAGCGCTGGGGGGGGGGGAGATGTTAACTGCCTCGCCTGTCATTCAGGAGGCCGTGGGTTCGATCCCGAACTTAACACTTGTATATTTGGAGTTTGTATATTATCACCGTGGTCGCGTGGATTTTTTTATGGCGTCCTCCGGTTTTTCCCTCCACATTTAGAGTCAACGTCACGCGTTTAGAGTATTTAACTGATATACATTTCCACGTGATGAGGCACTTCGTTGAGCTATCGTTTGTGGCCAGGGCGCTTCTGAAAAAGAGCTACGTAGCGCAGTGGAAACTGGTCAAATAAAAAATAGTTTATAGTTTGACTTCCCACCCCCCGACCTTCGCTAGCGGCACGAATAGAGAGCATAGCCCCCCCCCCCCCCCCGGGTGTTTTATCTTTAGATATAAATTAGACGCAGGCTTTGCAGCCACCCGTTCCCCCGCACATCCACATCCTCCCAACTCCCTCTCCACCCACCCAACCCGGCCACAACTCGCTGCCAGCAAAACTAGAGCGGATATCGGGTGATGGGATCAAGCCCTTGGGTAATTGCCCAAGACCCTGGCATTAATCATCGGCCGTTTCTCTCTCTCGCTCTCTGATGTCACCTCTCTTCAAATGCCCTCTTTTTCTCGAGTAATTGGGGCCTAAAAGGTAGATGGGGCGGGGGGGAATAGCGCGATTTGTATGATTTTTTTTTATAGTCTGGAATTAATTTACTTTTGTTTGTGTTTGCGACGATTGTGTTGCAATCGCCACCACGGTTAAAGAAGGTGCCCATTCTGCCAGCTTTCTGAAAAACATGAAACAAATTTAATCAACTGACAAAGCATGGCGTTTTTGCTGGCCGCCCGCCGCCCTCGTGTGCCGTGCCAGCGTTATTGATAGGTGCTGCTCGATCACAGCACTCGCCCCAATAGTCCATTAAGGCTATACAGGGGATCTTTGTCTTTTCTTTGTTTGCTATGGGACCAATGTGACCGCGAGGTCACTCGTGTTTACCGACGGAGGTTTATTTCTCGCCCAAAAATAACCGTCGGCCAGCAGCGTTTCCTAGAAGCAGCTTGGCCCGTGTGCCAGCGTGCGACACTTTTTTTTTTTAACACCTCCCCTCTACATCTCATGGCAAGAGGCATGAGTTGGGGGCGGTATCGTGGCGGTCGGGCATTTTGCCGCGTGTTGCCGAACTGCACGGCGGCCGCCCTCGTTAATACTGTATTGGGGCCCTGCGGTGGTAAGATGTTAACTACCTCGCCTGGTATACAGGAGGTCGTGGGTTCGATCCCAACCCTGATGCCTGTTCATTGGAGTTTGCATGTTCTCCCCGTGATCACGTGGATTTTTCTCTGGTTCCTCCCGTTTTTCCCTCCACATTTCAGAACATGCATTTAGCGTGTTTGGCTGCTATGAATTGTGATAAGCCAACTTCATTGAGCTATCATTTGTGGTCAGGTTGCTTCTGAAACAGAGGAAGAAGCTCAGTGGGCCTTACCTGAAGAAATAAAAATAGCAGTAAATTAACCTTAAATACGCGGCGTCTACTGTGCGGCGGATGCTAAAGATCCCGTGACGTTATCGGAAGAAAAAAAGCTGGGGGCCATGCATACCGGTGTAATGTTCCAAATTTCCAAACGTGAAAAACGATTCCACACAGGTTACTCAGTTGGGCTCGCGCGCGGCAATCCATCGCCTCCCGTTGTGAAACTACTGCAGGCGACGTGGAACTGCGGCGCCGCTGTGCCGGCCTCGTGCTGTACGAACGGCACAGACACCAAATGAACGATTTGACGACGACGGATTTGATTATTTTTACGAACGGCATTCCTGACGCGTCGTCGGTTTTTTGCGCCGCGCGTTGTTGGTTCGCGACGTCCGACGTTCCATCCCACGTGCCGGGAGCTTCCAAGGCGCGCAGCGTTCTTCATCGCAAGGCCGGCGAGGGGCCACTGGCGGCCTCTGGTGGCCTTTAGTGCGGCCCTTCACGTGCCGCCCCCCGGCAATACCCAACAAATGTTTAAAACGCCCCATCATCATCGTGCTGCTGCCAAACCCAATGGTTTCAAATGTGTGGTGGCCCTCACACTGATAAAGTCTCATCGGCGAAAGTTGCCCCCCAGTGAACAACATTGGTCTAAGGGAACCTATCGGTCGATTGATAAGTCAGTCGGTCGGCCCGTTCATGTCTGTATGTATGTATGTTGAACTTCTTTTGCACCGTACGTAGCCAACCGTGCTAATTGGAGGTGCGGGGGAAGGAAAACGAACTAAGAACATAAAGCATTTTTATATAAATGATTTTTCCATTAGATTTAAAAGTGCACAGCTCCAGCGGCTTCCTAATATCGGACGGAAGCGCGTTCCAGACGGCCGCGGAAGCGCATCCGAAAGCGCCGCGCGGTGCGGTGACTGCCGTCTTCGTGCGACGGCCGGCCAAAAAGCCGCCGCGGCGAGCGACGACCGGAGTTCGCGCGTGATGGTTTCTGCTGCCTGACGAGATCACCGCAACACCTTGCCGTGCGTAACCCGTCCGTCGCGCGGCGCAGGTGTACGTGACGTCGGAGAGCCGCTTTGGCACGCTCGCCGAGCTGGTGCACCACCACTCGGCCGTGCCGGACGGCCTCGTCACCACGCTGCACTACCCGGCGCCGCGCCTCACCAAGCCCACGGTGTACGGCGTGTCGCCCACGCACGACCGCTGGGAGATGGAGCGCACGGACATCACCATGCGTCACCGGCTGGGCGGTGGCCAGTACGGGGACGTCTACGAGGGCCACTGGAGGAGGTACAACCTCACGGTGGCCGTCAAGACGCTCAAGGTGGGCGCGTGTGTACGTTGTGTGTACGTTGCGTGTACGTTGCGTGTACGTTGTATGTTCGTATGTTCGTATGTATATGGTGAACTGTGAGCAGACGACAACGGGTCTTGCGATTTTTTTTCTTTGCACCCAAAAACGGCGGGATGTACAGGCACGGTGTGCATGCAAAATGTGCATACATCATGTATGTTGATTACCATGTGAACGACACAACTGGTAATGGGTAACCGTTGTAATTTATATCTATACATTACCCCCCCACCCCCCATACTCTTTGGTTCTTTCGGTAAAGTCACGTAGATAGAAAAAAGAATAGATCACGACGTTTCGATCGCCACACCCAAGCAAAGAGGGGGAATCTGCTGAGGCAGGCTGTTGATGAAGGTTTAGAGATGGGCAGGGTAGCTCATGCTAATGTAGGAGCGAGCAGGAGAGTGCGAGTGGGAGAGAGAAATTTGCTTGTAAATGTAAATATTACCCCCCATCCCGGTCTTCGCACCTGATTTGCTCACAAGTGACGACATCACATTTAGCCCTCGATTTAAGACCGAAACGGGAGAATTTCTCCACAACTCTGGCTGTCTGCCCGATGGTGCTAGTTGTAATTACCGGCAACACGTCGTACTCGAATTGTAAACGTTGTGGGTTTACTCTCCACCACACAGGTTAGCGCTGTATTCATAACGAATTGGCACGTTTTGTTTACATGACAAACTTTTACTAATTAGCTGTGTCGGGTAGTGGCGAGTTTAACGACACACATTTATATATTTACGCGATCTCACCCAAAAACCTCTTATGTATGTATGTTGAACTTATTTCGCACTGTACATGGCTAACCACCACGCTGAACGGATGTGCGGGGGAAGGACAACAAACTAAGCACAAAAAGCAGTCCTAAAGAAATGCGTTTTCAATCGAGAAAGTTCAAAAGTGGCGGCGTGGTGTATTCCGCAAATATGGCTGACTGTGAGGGCGGGCACAAGCTGGCGTGAGTAGGTTAAACGTTGAGTTTTATAAGGGCACCACGGGGTGACCAGCCCCTCCCCACCCAGCCCCACCCCTCCCACCCCCCCCCACCCAGCCCCACCCTCCCCACCCAGCCTCTCCCCACCCTCCCCTCTCCACCCAGCCCCACCCCTCCCATTTTTGGATGCACGACGGATGGACGGACGGACACAATAATCCCCTGTGGGCTGGTGTAACCAGGAGGTTCCTACCAGTATAAGCGTCCCATCACTTTACCATCACTTTATGTGTCATCACTTCATTCCATCACTTTCTCGCGTCGCATTCTCTCTCGTCGCTTTATCTCGTCACTCTCTCTCTCGATGCAGTCGCGTAGAGTTCTAGATGTGACTCGGGGATCGGCAGAATCGCGTACAGCGAGTGCGGTGACTAACGAAGGAATATACCGCACTGCGCGTAGCGATCGCCCGCCCCCCTGCCGCCATAAGTCTGGCAACAGCCTCAAGGACACAAGTCCTGAGAATCAGAATCTTCATTGATCCTGGAGAAATCCGATTTGCCACGATGCGCTCTCTTCACAAACGTCCGGTAGACGTCGATGAGGCTGTAACTGGGTAAATAAGTGTAAACAGTCAACATATAAACTGGCCTAAAGGGAAAACTGTTTCTTGTTAGAAAATTGGCGAGGTTTTTGGCCGGTATGCCAGTGTGCACGGACACGACGGCTCCTCTTCTAGTGCAATGTAACATCAATTTCATATATATACACCATGTGACATTCGAATGCATTTAACATACATGATATACTTCGTGACAACATAGCTCGTATGTTCATTATATTCCGCATTGCTGATATTTTTAATGAATTAAAATTTTTGTTTTGTAAGCTCCATAATAACGCGTTCGGAGGGAGAGGGATCCGCGTGTGTGCTTATATGCCTCTAGCTCAACCGTCCCCTTGCACTGCTGCAGTCGAACCAAGGGGGGACCCCCTCTACTCCAGTGGCGGCTGTCCCTGCCCGGCACGGGGTGGCACCTCGTAATCGTTATGCCCCTGGCGTGGTGTGGCCTTCCACAGGAGGACATGATGGAGGTGGACGAATTCTTGACTGAGGCGGCCGTCATGAAGGAGATTAAACATCCGAACCTCGTGCAGCTCTTGGGTTAGTGCCACACCTCGACATGCCGGGCAGGCGAACGCTATCCACTATCAGGTGCGTGCGGTGCGGCAGTGGAGTGGCCGCCGCGTGTGTCCGGGCGCCGGGCTGCAAAGAGGTGGGGAAATTAAACAACAACTATGAACTATTATTTATTTTGCCAGGTAAGGCCCTTTTTCAGAAGTGAACTGGCGATCACATATGATAGCCCAACGAAGTGGCTTATCACGTGGAAAACGTATAGTGGGCAAATACGTTGATTCTAAATATGGAGGGTAAAACCGGAGGGCCCAGAGAAAAATCCACGCAACCACGGGGAGAGAGACACGCAAACTCCAAATATGCAGGCTCAGGATCGAACCCACAACCTCCTGTATACCGGGCGAGGTAGTTAACATCCCGCCACCGTGGTGCCCAATATGGACGGGAGGGGGCCTCCCCAGTTCATCCGTTGCACCCGGGGCCTTTGCCAACCGCTGCTGCGCCACTGCAGTGTGCGGATAGGGAGGGGAATTCCGAAGCGGAGCCATTTGAGCGTCGGGAACCACACGAGTGGATGAGCGAGTGAGTGAGTGAGTGAATGGGTGAGTGGTTGACTGAATGATTGAGTGAGTGAGTGGTTGACTGAGTGAGTGTGTTGTTGTGACGTGCGGTGTGGTGGTGGTGGTGGTTGAACTCGGTGCAAGGTGAGGCGAAACGGTCAGTATGGTAGGGGTGGAGGAATCGATGGGTGAAGTTCGTGGGATCGTTGACCACGGTAGTAGAGATAGAAGAGCTATGAGAAGGTGACTGCCTGCCGGTGAGCGAGTGGCCGTAGTGAATCAGTGAGTGGGCATTCATTGCAACGGTGAGCGTGGTGGAGATTAATAACAACGGACAAACAAAACCTATGCTTAGCGATCGGTTCCACCCTCGAATCTAATCGCAAAACCCCCAAAACGCGACCGAATCATCGAATCGCTGGGATCGGTGGGAGTGGGATGGTTGGGGGGGTTAGCGGCCAGACCGGAGGGACAGTTGGTGAGGCTGGCTCCATCTCCCGCAGGCGTGTGCACGCGCGAGCCGCCCTTCTACATCGTCACGGAGTTCATGCCGCGCGGCAACCTGCTGGACTACCTGCGTGAGTGCGACCGCGACGAGGTGACGGCCGTGGTGCTCCTGTACATGGCCACGCAGATCTCCTCCGCCATGGAGTACCTGGAGAGGCGCAACCTCATCCACCGGTGAGTATCACCGATAAAAAATTATTATGATTTGTAAAAAAATATTATGATTTGTAAAAAAGTATTATGATTTGTAAACATTTTTTTTATAAATTCTCAATTGTTTCTATGTATGTTGACCTTCTTTCGCCACCGTACGTAGCCGACCGTGCTCATCTATTTCTCATTTATTTTTTGGGGAAAAATAAAAGAAGTCCTTCCGGTTGACCTTAAAATCCTGGCTGAGCGGAGTACGGCTCGGAGAGGTTTTCACCGGGTAGCCTCTCTGTCACGCGCCGTGCTCCCTGTCATCTCTTGCATACTTTTATATATATATATATATTTTATAATTATTAACTTTTAGTGACTTGTTTTGCGTACATTGTAACTCGCTGACCCAGCCACCCCTGCTAGGACACCTGTGACGAAGAGCTTTGCAGCTCATCGGATCCCTCCCTCCCTCCCCTCCCCGCCCTCCCTCCCTCCCTTTCCTATCCTCCCTTCATCCCTTCCTCCCCCCCTCTCCCCCTCTCTCTCCCTCTCCTCTCCTCCCTCCCTTCCTATCCTCTCTCCCTCCATCCCTCCCTCTCCTATCCTCCCTTCATCCCATCCTCACTCTCCAATCCTCTCTTCATCCCCCCTCCCTCCCTCCCTCCCTCCCTCCCTCCCTCCCTCCCTCTCCTCCCTCCCTCCCTCCCTCTCCTCCCTCCCTCCCTCCCCTACCCGCTCCTCTGGTCCAAATCAAGATTCCGTCCAATTCTGTCCCCCCCCGCCTCCCTCCGTGTGGCTCCAAGGGACCTGGCGGCACGCAACTGTCTGGTCGGGGAGAACCACCTGGTGAAGGTTGCCGACTTCGGGCTGAGCCGGCTCATGACGAGCGACATCTACACGGCTCGCGCCGGCGCCAAGTTCCCCATCAAGTGGACGGCGCCCGAGAGCCTGGCCTACAACAAATTCTCCATCAAGTCCGACGTGTGGGGTGAGTCCGTGCGTCACGCTGCGTCTCTCTCAAAATCTCCGAACCTGTGCTGGGCCTCCCACTGCCCCCTCCCCACCCACCCCAGGGTGTGTAGGAGGTAGCAGGTTTGACGCCGACCCTGACACCTGCTGTATATTTGGAGTTTGTGTGTCTCTCTCTCTCTCATCATCGTCACGGTGGCTAGGAGATGTTAACGACCTCGCCTGGTATACAGGAGGTCGTGGGTTCGATCCCAACCCTGACGCCTGCTTTATATTTGGAGTTTGCGTCTCTCTCATCATCATCATCACGGTGGCTAGGAGATGTTAACTACCTCGCCTGGTATACAGGAGGTCGTGGGTTCGATCCCGACCCTGATGCCTGCTGCTGTATATTTGGAGTTTGCGTGTGTCTCTCCCCGTGGTGGCGTGGATTTTTCTCCGGGTCCTCTGGGTTTTCCCTCCACATTTAGAAACGTGCGTTTAAATTTCTACATGATAAGCCACTTCGTTGAGCTATCATTTGTGTCCAGGTCGCTTCTGAAAAAGAACTATTTCGCTCAGTGGGCCTTACCTTAGTTTTAAATGACAACCTGGCATCAGTGCGTTCTATTAGGAAGCCACTGAGGCTATGCATTTTGAATTCTCGATTGAAAACCTATCTCTTTACAACTTCCTCTTGTGTTTGGTTTGTTGTCCTTCCCCCACACCTCCAATTTAGCACGGTTGGCTATGTGCAGTGCGAAATAAGTTCAGCATACGTGTGCCGTGCCGGCCTTCATAGGTGCTCTTTGTCTTTTCGTGCGTACGTGTGCGTGCGCGTGCGCAGCGTTCGGCGTGCTTCTGTGGGAGATTGCGACGTACGGGATGTCGCCGTACCCGGGCATCGACCTCACACAGGTGTACGACCTCCTGGAGAAGGGCTACCGCATGGAGCAGCCCGAGGGCTGCCCCCCAAAGGTCTACCAGCTCATGCGCTCATGTGAGTTGTCGAAGCTTCGATGAGTCTCGAGGCTCTCGCGAGAGAGGGGTCATGCCTGCGAGGGTGGTTGACCGCTGCTGCTTTTATTTTTTTGCCCGACGCGTAAACTTTCGTGAATCGGCAAGTCGTGCGTGCGTGCGCGGCGAGGTAAAGTGTGCGGTACTCCAATCCCTTCCGAGACATCTGACCCGCCGTGAAAAACTAGGCCTCTAGGCTGACTCGACATTAGACACGTGCCGGGTGCTGCGTGCACACAGCAGCACTTGGGAGACAGGGGGCGGCTGGACGTTAGACTAGTCCACGCCAAGGCCTTGCGCACCACGCCTGCCCTTTGAGAACTCGCAGGGCGGTGGCGGCCACTCACGCGCCTACAATCCATCGCTGCGGAGGCGGCGAGGGTTGGCGGATCGCACAAATGTTGCGTGGGTGGCGAGGCGCCACACCACGCCACCATAGCTCGCCAGGAGACGGCAGTACACCAAGATGACTCATCGACCATCTGTTTCCAATCCGTACACGGAGGGATAGTGTTGCCCCCTCGCTATCTCTGGGTGCTTCCCATTCACCCCGCACGCAGAGACACTCACTGATTTGCTGAAAACAACTTGATATGTACAGTATCGGCAGAGCTTGGGCAAGAGTTGGCGCCAACTTTACCACCTGGCTTCCTTTCCCGCCTGTCTGCGGTTTCACCCTTTCACCTCGGTCGTTGTTTTTTGTTGTTGTATTTTTGTAACTCGCTGACCCCGTGGCCCGTACTGGACATCTGTTAAAAAAAAGAGGCTTCATAGCTCATCGGAATCCTTTCCCGGTCTAAATAAAGATTCCGATTCTAATCGTCGGCCTCTCTACGAGGGCGAATAATCACGGTGCGGCGGCGCGTAGCAAGTTGAATGTATTATTATTAAAATGAAAGCATAACTCGCCCGACAGCGCTTGTGCGGTAGGCGATTGTGTTTATTGGCTCGCTGTGTCCCAGGCTGGCAGTGGAACCCGCAGGATCGCCTCTCCTTCAGCGAGACCCACCAGGCCTTCGAGACCATGTTCTACGACTCGAGCATTTCAGACGGTTCGTTTGGCACCACCAATCATCACCGCCCGCACCACCGATCCATTAAAGCCGTTACAGAATTTTGGGGCAAGTGCTGTTTTCGAGCACCTATTAACAAGGCCGGCACGGCACACGAGGGGGGGCAGCCTACACCATGCCCAGCCACATTTGTCTCCCCCAGCGCTGATGTTTATTACACTCAGCAACAGCAGCTATATTTATACGGCTGAGTCGACCTAGGGGAGGCCCAGCATCGGTTCAAATATAATATCCACCACTTAATTATTGGCGGTGAGCGGGAATCGAACTTTGGTCCCCGGGTTCACGGCACGGCGAACTGACCACGTCACTGCGCGGGAATCGACCCGCGTTCGATTCCCAGCGTCACGACCGGCATCATTGACGATTATCTGAACCGGTGCCGGGGCCTCCCCCTAGGTTGACTCAGCCTCACACGAGTACCGCGTGCGGCGTGTAAACGACATCGACACCCGAGGGAGACCAACGCGGCCCCGGCCACGACTCTGACCACCCTCCCCTTTGTGCGCCATTCCGGCCTTCAACGGCGCTCGCTAACAGCACTTGCCGCGACAGTCTTATAAAGCCTAGGCGGGGGTGGGATCTTTGCCTGTGTATGTGTGTGTCTGTTGTGCGTGGCGTGCGTGGGGAGTGGGCGGGGTGGCCTTTTTCTGCTCTGCCTTCACGCGGGCCAAAGTTACTTAAATGTGAACGCGTCGGTCGAAGAAGAAGCTTTTCTTAATCACACAAAACCGCGCATAGTTTTGGAACGGTAAAAAAATTGTGAATGCTAAGACACCAGCTTTTTTGTTTATCTCCCCTACCGCACCGGGGCACCTGCCTCGCTGCCGCCGACGCCGACGCCGCCGCCGTCTCACTTGACAGAAGTTGAAAAGGAGCTCGGCAAGAAAAAGCCGAGCGACTTGCAGGCGCCCGTGCTGCCCACCAAGTCGCGGCGGACGCCCGAGCAGAAGGGAGACAAGTGCTCTCTGGAGGCCAGGGTCGACTCCGAGCTCCGTGAGTGAGGGCAACTACATTGTTGTGGGGTGGCCGGGGGGGTTTAGAAAGCATCCCTCTCTAGATTTGAAGCTTTCGTGACTGCAAGGATTCATACTCTTAGTTTTTTCGGTAAAGTCACGTAGGTAAAAAAATGAAATTAATATTAATACAAATATTTTTTATTTTATTTTTTATTTCATTTTTTACCTACGTGACTTTACCGAAAAAACTAAGAGTAAGCATCCCTCTCCCCACCTCAGCCCCCCCTCTCTCTCGAGAGAGAGTTTGACCTACTCACACATTGGAGTACCCACACTTTACCCCACCACGCGCAGCCTGCCAATCGTGGCCATTTATACTCGTTCCAGATGTGATCGGTGTGGGGTTGTACGCACGAATGTATGTTGAATTTCTTTCGCACCGTACGTAACCAACCGTGCTAATCGGAGGTGCGGGGAAAGGACAACAAACTGGGTAGACAGAGGTGGTGGTGGTGGGGGGCGGGGGGGGGGTGGTTAATAAACTTGCCCACCCCCCCTTCTCTATAATTTTAATTGCTACGCTGCATGCGACATTAGATGAGTGTTTGACCGCACTCTGCGCAGAATCAGAATCTTTATTTACCCTGGAGAAATCCGATGAGCTACGAAAGTTACGACCTTCACGCAAACTCTGGTCATGCTCGCAGCGGATTTTGGCTGGCCATTGAACATAGACGCTGGTCACCGCACCGCGCGCTTTAAGATGCGCTTCTGCGGCCATCTGGAACGCTCTTCCTTGCGATATTAGGAAGCCACTGGAGCTGTGCACTTTTTAATTTCGATTGAAAAGTAATTTCATTGGAGCTTCTTTTTTGTGTTTAGTTTGTTGTCCTTCCCCCGAACCTCCAATTATCGCGGTTGGATGTGTACGGTACCAACATACGTGTATATGACTAACAAACACCGATCAGCTCGCTTTGCTAATCGGTGCTGGAGGGTGTAGGCGGGACACACAGGACCAGTTCAGATCTGCCTCGCCAGTCATATTATTAGCCCGGGATGGGAATCAATCTCATGTCGCCAGGATTGACAATGAGCCGTTAATTCATTTGGGCGGCAAAGATGTGCCTGACAGATCCTGGGTTCGATTCCCGACCCGGTTCGCCTTCCTGTATGGAGTTTGTATGTTCTCCTCCCTGTTCTGCATTCGTTTCCTTTGGGTTCTCCGGTTTCCTCCCAAAAGAAAAAAAAACCCGTATAACCTAACTAGTATTGGGCCAAATATCCCAATGCTGAAAAATTCCCTGCAATGTTACTCAGTGCGGATCACATGCAAAGCAAGATCGCCCCCTACTGCTAAAACGTGGCTGAACCCTTCTGAAAAAACAGTCGAGACTCAACGAGGCCTTCTTCAGCTAATCAATCGTCAAAATAAAAATAAAAACGTAACTTTTTAAACTCCCCTCCCGACCGCTCGCAGGGAAGGCGGACCACTCATCGCCCAAGGGAGATGCTGGCAAGCCCACCGCCCACAACAACAACAAGGGCAGCAGCAGCAGCTCGGTGATGAACGGGCAGGGCAGCCCCGAGGGCAGGCGCCTGCAGCCCCAGCGCAAGAGCAGCTGGATCTTCGGCTCGTTCATCCGCCGCCTCCGCTGCACCCCGACGCCGGCGCCGCCCAAGCGCAGCAGCTCCTTCCGGGGCCCGTGGGATGGTTCGACGGGGGTTGGCGGCGGTGGCGGCACGGATGCGGGCGAGGGCTTCGTGCACGTGAGTGTGGTGCCGCCGCCGCCGCCGCAGCCGCAGCAGCCGCAGCCGTCGTCGTTCGGCGGAATCGGCGGCGCCGGCTGCGGCAAGGGCAGGGCGCGGTGCAACTCCGGCAACGGCGTGAGCAACGGGCACGCGGGCGTTGGCGGCGGCGGAGGAGGAGGAGGAGCCGGCGGGAGCAGGCTGGCCGTCCTCGCCGGACTGTTCACGCCGCGGCTCATGAAGAAGCCGATGGGCGTCGCGGCGAGCGACCTGGCGCTGAAGCGGGAGGAGCGCGTGATGACGCGTGAAGATGCCCTGCTGCTGCTGCAGCAGCAGCAGCAGGGCGTCATCACGCGCTCGTACTCCGCGTCCTCGGCGCAGTCGGGCGCCGAGTTCCCCGTCGGGAGGACCGTGAGCCTCATGCGCGACAACCGCTGCCCCTTCAAACCCCGTGGCCGCCCGGCAGCCGGCGACCCGGCCGCCTCCTCCATCGCGGAGGTGCCGGAGATCTCGGTGTTCTCCAGGCGGCTGCTGCTGCTGCGGGACGACAAGCGGAGCCTGTCGAACACCGCCACCGCCGCCACCGGGGCGCCCGTCGTGCTGCGCAGCTTCCTCTCCGCTCCGTCATCGTCGTGCGACGAGGAGCACGACTCGGACGACTCGGACGACGAGTTTGAGCGGACGATGCTGTCTGAGAGGCTGAGGCCGGCGGCGTCGAGGCCTGGGCGGGTCGGTCAGAACGGCGGCGCGGGCAGCCGCGCGCCGGCGGAGCGGAGCGTCGACTCGTCGTCGGACTCACCCGTGTTTCAGCAGCGCCAGTGCTGGCCGCTGGTCCGCCAGGTGGACTGCGTGCCGGCGGGGAGTGCGCGGATCTTCCCGGCCGACGCGCAGACGCCGAAGCCGCGCAGCATCCCCGTGATGGGCGTGCGAGCCTCGGAAGGGGCGGTGGACAAGCGGAAGGGCGGCGGCGGCGGTGGCGTCGCGCTACCGCCGCCTACCAAGCCGGGGAAAGCGACGACGCCGCCGGCATCGGCGTCGCCGGCCGGCGTGAAACTCGCCTTCAAACTCGCCCAGACGTCCTCCGCTCCCGGCAAGCGGCTGAGTCCCGGCTGCGGGGATGCGGCGTCTCGCGAGCGCGGAGAGGCGGCCGGGTGCTCCCCGTCTCCGTCTCGGCACAGCTGCGGCGGCGACTCTTCGAGCGACGGCGGCGGCCAGGACGGGCCTGCGGCGGGATCTGGCGACGCGACGGAATCTCCCGACGCGGCGGAGGCCGCGCCGACGCCGCGCCGCTTCTCCTCCTCCCCCTCCACCTCGGCGTTCGCCGGCTGCTCCCCGCACGGCACGGAGCCGGCGCCGCGGACGCCCCTGCGGCGGGCGCGGCACGCGGCCGGCTGCAGCGGCGGCGACGACGACTCGAGGGAGGGCGGCGGGACCGGCGGCAGCACCGGCGCCGCGGGCGACGAGGTCTCCAAGGACGTGGTGCTCGAGCGCCTGCGCTCGCTGCGCGAGGCTCTCGGCGCCGGCCGCCAGGAGCAGCCGCCGGCCGCCGCCGGGAGTGGCGCGGGTGCTCTGCTCGAGTGCGTCGCGCACCTCCTGCAGTGCTGCGGCCGCTACGCCGACCACATCCCGCAGTCGCGCGAGCGCTTCGCCTTCCGGGAAGCCGTTGCCAGGCTGGACGCGGGCCTCCGAGAACTCCAGGGGGCGCCCACCGGCAACTCGGGGTGCCCGGCGCCGTTGGGCCTCTTGGCGTGCGTGCGCGACATCAGCAGCATAGTGCAGCGTTAGCGGATGCGGCTGCTGGGGAGGGGGGTCGTGCGCGGCGACCGCCGGGCGAACGGAGCCGTCGTCATTCGACGCGGCGATGTGTCGATGCAGAGGGGTGCGGCTGTCGGTGCGGCCGTAGGTGGTGGAGCCATAGTGGTGCGGCGGTGTCGGGCCGTCATCGGTGGCTAGAGCGACGTTCTAAACTGTTCACCGACCCGTGCCAACGATGCAGCGTGCAGTGAAACGAACTGGCCATTGGGTGGAGGGGAGGCCGTCATGCGTGCTGTGGCAGGCCTGTAAATTGTGTCGACAGCCAACGTACGAACCTCGCTGGAACTAATCCAGAATATTGGCGCCGGATGATCCGGAAACGCTGTGGAACCAACTTGGAACACTTTTTTGCGCACACGAACGTCCACAGCGCGAGCATCTCTCTCCACGCCTACATCTCCCGTTTACATCACCGTTACCATAATGAATACCATCATTTCCCCCCGCCCTCCCCTTCCCACACCGAAGCTGCTCTCCTGTTCCGTCGGAACGGACCGGAGGTTGCAGGTTTTGCGCGCTCGTGCGCCGACAGCAGATGCTGCGCCAGGGCCGCCACGACCGTCGGACGGGAAGACAGAAAAACCGCGATGTGAACCTTTTTTGCCGGCGCTGCTCAAAGTTTGCGAACGCCGGGGGGGTCCCACGGCGGGGAACCGGGTGGTGGTTTTTTTTGTTGTGCTATGGGATCACAGTAGACACCATCGCGCTAACTTGCGTCCCGCCTCGTCGGATCTCGGAAAGCAAAGCGGGTGGGGCGAGCCTGCTCCCCGCTTTGATGGTGTGACAACGAGCGCGAGCCAGGCGGCGTGGTGCTGCTAGATGGTCAGGAGATGGTAGTACAGCAAGGGGCTCAGTCTGTATATACATAGAGAGTCGGGTAGTTGAGTCTATCGGAGGATTGAATCCATCTGTGCAGAGCTTCGAGTGACAGCCCCCCCCCCCCCCCCCACTCTTAAAGCGTGGTGGGGTTTCTCCAGTTACTCCAGTTAGCTCCCACGTGACCAAAAAAAACTCGTGAATCAAATTGGGTCAAACATCCCGATACAGGACCCTCCTAAAATCGAGGCCCGAGATCCTCCTATGCAATGGCGGTCACCCATCCAAGCAAGCGCTTATGCAGGCTCTCAACCTTCCTGAGCTACCGAGCTCCCGACTGGACCAGGAGGGGGAGGGGGGCATTGCGGTTGAGTTGGTTGCAGGCGAAATCTTTTAACATCGGCAAAGAAACATCAACGGAAGGCGGACTGCGGATGACCGACCGCGAGAGGTGGAAACGATCATCGGGCAGCATTTGCACTAAAATCCCCAAAAAGAATGTCCAAACCGAGAATCCGGTTTGGGAGCGGAAGAGCAATTGAGATGGAGCGTTACGGCCTTTACATCGCAGAAGAGAATCCGGATTGGTCGAGGTTCATGACACGTCTCTCCGGAGCCACACAATTCGGTGCTACTTTAGCAGGGTTTTGGCCGATGGACGGAGTTGAAATGAGATGAGGTGTGAGGGTTGGGATGATTTGTGAGGGGAGGATGAGGTGTGAGGAGGGGTGGGGTGAGGTGCGAGCGTGAGATGAGGCATGATGATTCTGGTTGCTGCAGAAGCAGAAATTGTCCGCCACAGACTTTCCCATCCCGATTCGTTTTGGCAGGAGGCTGTAAAGCTGGGTCCCCACCTCATAAAGAATGCATATTCATGGATAATATCTATCTATTGATTTACAATTGCAGTAACTATATTGTCAAGCCATCAAACACTTCGGGAACAAACACAAAAACGGCCAGCTGTAATAATAAAAAAAAATTTGCAAAACGAACCATCCGATATCTTTGGATCTAATTCCGTACGATATTTCGTAGCAACGCCATGTCGCCACCGACCATAGTTCTAGACAAAACCATCCTGACTCCGGACTCCTCGCTCCCCGGATCCGCTGCTCCACCACTGGCGGACGTCGTTCTAGCCACTGCTCCCCCCCCCCACCCTCTGGAACTCTCAGCTCAAGTCAACTCAGTCCAGTCCCCTCTCTCCCTCTCTCACTGCCTTCAAGGCTGTCCCGAAAATGTTCCTTGTCAATGCCACACTTTCGGTGATCCCCTACATTGCTTCATTTATCTCCTTTGCTTGAGTGAGTGAGTGGGTGAGTTTGGTGGGTGAGAGAGTGGGTGGGTCGGACGAGTGCGTGAATGAGAGTGTCGGTGAGTGGATGGATGAGTCTGTGGGTGAGCATTTGAGTGGGTGGGTGAGCGTGTGGGTGGGTGAGCGTGTGGGTTGGTGAGTGAGCTCGCTCCCTTCCGCTCTCCCTCCCTTGCTCGGTGACTCTCCCGCTAATCCTGCGCTCCCGAGACGTTCGTTATGTCATGAGCCGCATCGTGACAATTGTAAATTGTCGTCGTCATCGTCGACGTGTGCGCATGTCATAGGCGACGCTGCCTCCCTCGACCCGCAACACACGCGCTCGCGCGTTGTACGTACCGCACGGCCCGTTTTGAAATGCGCGCGCATAGTTTTGTTGTTGTTGTTTACAGCGCGCTCGTTGCGCTTGTTTTACGACGGACGAATGCATGCACAAATCGATGGCTTGAACAGCGACATGCACACGTTGATTTTTGTGGAGCATTCCATGTGTGCGCGCGCGCGTGTGTGTGTCCAGGGCCTTCCGACGCGATTATCTGGACCGGTCATGGGCCTCCCATCGGTCGACTCAGCCTCAAATGAGTACCTGGTGCGGTGTGTAAAGCATCGTCACTTGGGAGACAAAGGCGGCCGTGCGTGGTGCTGGCCACCCACCCCCTCGTGCGCCGTGCCGGCCTTCGTATGTGCTCGCTAACAGCACTTGCGCCAACAGTCTGGTAAAGGCTATGCGGGGGATCTTTGTCTTTGTGTGTGTGTCCAGGGCCTCCCAGAGGTTCCTGGAGGCCCTGCAGCAGAATGCCACGTGGGTGGGGGGGGGGTCTACAGGCCCGTTGTGTAAGGGGAGGGGAGGGGGGAGCTCTTTTGTATGAGGCTGGAAGCAAATCCCCCCCCCCCCCCCAGCTATCCCCCGCCCTCACCCGGCTCTGTGTGGTCCTGTGTGTGTTGTAAACAAAAAAAACTTGCAAAGACATTGGCGGCCGCGTGCAGAATTGCATTGACGGACCCCCCCCCCCCCCCAAAAAAAAAAAACGGTAATGCGCCCACAACCTGGATGTGTACCGTATTGACGTCCGGTAAACTTGAAACGAGTGCGTGCCTGCGTGCGTACGTGCGTGCGCACGTGCGTAAAACTGCTGGGGGGGTGTGGACCCAAGCCCTGGCTCTTACCATGGGTTTTACCATGGGGGCAGACGATGGATGCGGAGGGTGCCCCGGCTGAGACATCCCCCGGCTCGCGCCGAGCAGAAGATTCGATCGGCGTTCGTGAGAGAGACCGGCGGAAGAGCCCTCGACGATCGGCTCTGCTCATCTCCCCGGGGTTTTGCCGTCGCAGCTTGTGCCAGCCCCTGGCTGGCAGTGCCACCCACTCCCGTGTCGGAGAGAACGGTCCCCAGAAGATGTCGTGACGGAACTACTTCCCAAGTCGCTCTTTTATATCTATATATCATACCTCGTTATTACACCCGGGGAGCCGCAACCTTTTACGTGCCCGGTGAATAGCGTTTGGGCGAATGTCATCGGGGCAAGGTGGCTTAGCCCTGTGTTTGTGGGTGGCAGGCGGTTTCGCAGTGGAGGAAGGTTCGCAGGTCCAGTTTCGGGAGGCAACAAACTCCAGCTTGGGTTTGCCGGTCCCAGGTGGCTTGTGCGAGAGGATTAATTGAAAGATCTGGAATGGGAGATTAGTGGGTGGACTTAATGGTCAGGTCGCCGAAACGCTGAAATTCGGGGTTTGAATCTGGGTTTCAGCAGCTGCCGGGGACTGAACTGGGGCCTTAAGTGGAAAGGATTGATGGTTTTGGCTTGGATAGCAATGCCTGCACACGCAAACATTTAATTGATTTCGAAAATTTTCTGTGGCAAAAAAAAATCAAGCTCTGAGATTTAAAACAAGAACATTTTTGCGTGAGTCACTTGCCAAATTCACTCTGAGCAGGGCATGTATACGGTCTGCCACTCGTGTGGGCAATAAGTTTGATTGGAAGTGACTTCAGAAGTAGTTCTGTGATATCATTCGGGGAGGGGGGATGGGTATTTCCCAACACAGGGTGATGCACCGCTAGCTCCAGAGTGCTCAACGGAAGTGTCTTCATCGCCCTGCCATGACGCCGATTGGACAATTGCAATGTAATTGTTATGACTAAACTGGAATGTGAACAACGGTGGCTTCGCGATCGGCGCTTTCTCTACCGGAGGGGCACGCGCAGCTTCCCCCAGGAGGACTTGCCTGGTTGACGTCCAGCACCGGTCCAGTAGCAACAGCATCATCCATCAAGCAGCAGCAGCACAAGCTGGCTCCTGCTTACCATTCACAAATGCATCCACCTACACCTGAGACTGGAAATACCCGAGGCGGACCTTGTAGCCTCCTCAACCTGGGTTTTCCACGGACCTGCAAAAAAAATGTGTATTCTTGCCTACCTTGGCAATTTGAAAAAGTTGGTACAAATTGAGAAGCCACCTCCGGCTTCTGTTGATGCCTGAGGATGAACTGTGGGGACTGACACACAGGCCACTTATTTATAAACGTTATTGAATTTCGCAATGTGTGCGTGCGTGCGCGCGTGTACATAGATTCCTCTTTAAGCGCGAGTCAACTCGGCCTGAGATCCGGTGCATTAGTGTCTCATTAAAGACACCACGATACAACTGCACGTGTGTATGTTTTTTTTGTTTAGTGGGGAGCGGTAGTGTAGCGGTTAGCGCGCTGCGCTATGAAACCAACGACCCAGGTTCGATTCCCGTTCACGGCCAATATCAGTGAAGATTATCTGAACCGGTTCTGGGCCTCCCCTAGGTCGACTCAGCATTAAATGAGTACCTGGTACGGTGTGTAAACATCGCCACTGGAGAGACAAAGGCGGTCGGGCGTGGTGCTGGCCACCCACCCCCTCGTGTACCGTAGCGGCCTTCATAGGTGCTCGCTAACAGCACTTGCCCCTACGGTCTGTTAAGGCTATACGGGGGATCTTTGTTGGGATTTTTGTTCTTTTTGTTTACGTAAACAACGGTAAAGGTGCAGCCCTGCAGTTTCTTGCCAACATCGCTGCTGGTGGAAAGGCCTCTCGCTACTGCTGTTTATTTGAAGATTGCGGTGTCTCTCTCTCCGTGGTCACGTGGGTTTTTCTCCGGGTCTTCCCGTTTTTTTCCCGAGCCACATTTAGAATCAACAACACGCGTTTATAGCATGTTATTACCGATGTAAGTTTCCACACCACCATAAGCCACTTTCGTTGAGCTATCATTTGTGACGGCCAGGTCGCTTCTGAAAAATAGCTACATAGCTCAGTGGGCCCTTTTCTGGTAATGTCAAAGCAGAAATAGAAATCCCAAATCTATCCGTGCGGCGCTTTGAGTGCGTTACTCCGAACAACACGCTGTGCAACCCCCCGAAAACACATGGATGGGGGGGGGGGGGTAAGAGCCGTGACGTGGACTGTCTGGCGTGTTAGGTCCCGGCTCGCTGCGAGTGTGGACCGACAGGGATGAGGCCAGCGACCGCAGTGAACATTCCACGGTCCTACCCCGACTGCCAACAGCGGCCACAAGGCCTGGGTCAGCTGACGCCAGCGAATTCCACGGTGGCATTGCTGAAATAATGCATCAATCCCTCCAAACACAATCGCATTTTCTGTTGTTGCAATCTACGTTTTGCTTCGTCCGGCGTATGGCTAAATTGAAGTCGTGAGAGCGATTTTAATATTTAGGACCAGACTGTTTGGCCGTTTGGTGGCGTTTACGGCAGCCCAATTATTACGGATGGGCATCGAGGATGTGATTCATTGTTGGAAACGTGCAGCCACGATGGGGGTGACCTACGACACGTCGAACAGATGTATCGTCGTATTGCCATTGCAACAGGGCGAGAGGCACAAACGAACATTCGGTTCATGATTTGGAAGATGAGACGGGTGGCGGAGGGAACCAGTCAGATGTCTCACGCCGCTGATGTTGGCGCGTTAAGAAAAATCGAACTCGGGTCGACGGGTTTTCGAAGTTCGAAATCCCACTGCGACCGGGGCGCACCACCGCTCCTCCCAAAAAACGAATTCGAGTTGGTGGATGGTTTGGAGACGCTGCCGAATTGCAAAGGGTGCGCGCGCTCGACCTGCGATCCAGAGGTCACTGGTTCGACTCCATCTCGTGGAGCGGCAGTTGAAACAGCGGGCACATGTCCTAACACCCCCCCCCCCATACCCCCGCTCCTTCCACCCCAACTCCGTCCAACGCACCCAGCAGTGTAAGTGGCTACACCAGAATCAATTGGAAGGTCATGTGTGCAGGACCGTCCAATGGGATGGGGTGGCTAGGCCCCGGGGTAAATGCCACCGTGTGGAAATCCCCCGACGCCTCCAAACGGAACCAAACGTATTACATCTGACACCGTGACGTCGACGCCCCCCCCCCTCGCCCAAAGTGCGGGGCCCGGGGCGATCGCCCTGATTCACCGTACCCTAGGGACGGCTCTGCGCAAGGCCGTAATTATAAATATATTGAGGTGAACACATCCCCCCCAAAAATGGCAGGAAATTCGTTTTCAAATTGAGATTTTTTTTTTTCCCCTGGGGAGGGACCTCCAGACCCCCTGGAAGATTTGGTCCCCCCCAATGTTGACTGCATGGCTACGGCCTTGGCTCTGCGTGTGGGGTGGGATAATGAATGTGTTACTCCCACACTCTTACAGAAAGTCTGAACGAGTAAGGCAACTACCGAGCCGGCGTTTTGACATTCGAACCGTTCCTGATCCACCTTCTCACCCTTCAACGAGCACGGACCATCGTCGGTCAAACCTCCTCCCCCCATCGCCAGGGATCGTCAACCGGCGGCTCGGAAGCCGCATGCGGCTCATTAAGGACCCACCAGTCTCGTGTTCACATTCATTGCGTCTCTTGAAATATTAAGGGTTTTTTTTTTGTTTACTGGAATTCGAAAAATTTTTTACCTCTTGTTATTTTTGTTTGCTGACCCCTTGCCCATGACCAACAGCGCGTGGGGTGGTGCATCATCAAAAGCAATGGCAGAGATGCCCTCTGCTGGCTGTCGATGGTATTTGGAGGACCGTTATTGTTGTTGTCATCATGCTTGTTTACCACGGGAGATAAGTCTCGTGACTCGTCCAAGAGGAGGAGGTCCTGTCAAGATTTCTCGGGAGCGTGCGATGAAAAAATAGTTTTAGAGCTCATCGGATTCCTCCAGTACAAATATAATCCATATTCTTATTCCGATTAATAATCCAATTGAGTATTCTGCCGTGTATTTTTTGTTACAAATTTGGCACATTTTCTGATTTAGTAATTGTTTTAAATTTTGCACATTTCTTAAACGTGCATTTTTCTAATTTGGCCATTGTTTAAAATTTGTCAAATTTCATAAATGTCAATCTCCCGGCCCCAGTCAGCTGAAACAATGGGCTCCATCATTTGAAATTATTTCATTCATCACGAAACTTCCAATGGAAACGGTTACCGGTTCGTGACCGGTCAGAAACCGAAAATGGTTACCAGATTACCGCTAATAATTTAACAATCCCAATGGGAACCATGGGGGAAAGGGAAGAATCAACAAGGATGAGAATAACGGATTCTTGGAGGAGCAGAGGATGGGGGTGTGTGCAAGAGGTCAGTCCGCCCGTGCCACCTGGGTCTGCTCCGTGACCTCCTGCCAGCGGGCGTTCGACACTTCACGTGGCCTCAACGTGCACCTAGCCTGGCACAAGCGTCGTGGTGGCGTCACCGCTACTTAGTGGCGGTTGTTGTTGTTACGGAGGTAGAGGAGCACGCGGTGATATTGAGGTGGCGAAGATGGGAGCCCAGACGAAGACGGCAGCGGACGGGAGGA